TACCATATCCCATCTCTGTCTACATAACTATGAGTAGTGGAAGCACACTCAAGAGGACACCACCACTCCATCTGAAACAAATGCTATATCCTATCTAATTCTGCTCAATTATAGAAAATCAGTAAAAAAAAATCTGCACAGATATTACAGCAAAAGAGCACTTACTGGATTCTAGTCAGAAGGGTCAATTAAAGACCTAGTAAGGATTGAACTGGGTTTCTTGATAAATGTATTTCTCTACAAATATCACATATTGCTTTAAATGTAGTAAACCTATAGTTCAGGAACACTTCAGAAGGTTTACAGGTTAGGGTTTATCTACCTTATTTTCAAAGTTTGTTCTTTGAGGTATGAAGCACTACACCAGTGGCCAGTGTCTTGTGACTTAAACAGAAGTCCCTGTTCACTATTTGAAGACTTTAAACAAATGAGCCAGGAAGAAGAGATGGCCAGCTCTGACTGCATTTGGAAATCATCTATGCTATTCAGTCAGTATTAATAATTAATTATATGCAGGGTATGTACAGTACCTCATTCTGTGAAGTTTTTCCCACCAGAGAATCCACATAACAAGAAGAGTGCTGTGACAAACATGTTCACTCAAGAAAAAGAAATGAGCAAGTCTTTTGAATTGTTGAAGCACATATAGCTGCCTATTGCACCTATTTTTTCAAAGGCTCCAGCAGTGATTATTGGTTCACTTGATTGATATCTAACTGCTTTTGAAAAAGCAGGATAAAACTCCTTCTGCTCTGTGACCAAATAAAGGATGATAGAAATATCCTACAATTTTGTACATCTAAAGAGAAATGCTTAGGACTGTGCTGCTTAAGTGGGAACTTATCTAGCTTTTGCCTGGGTTTAAGACAAGATTTGTGAGGTATTCTTGAGACTTTTAAGCCTGTCTCATGGCATTACTGATCAACTGATTATTTGAAACAAAATGATTTTTAAGAAAAGCTATGAATTTTACATCAAGACAGTTAGTGACTGACAAAAAATAAAATTTACTTTCGCAGTGGATGAAATCATGAAGGAGGGACAAGATTGAATGTCCTTATCTTTGTCTTATGTTTTGTTTCTTATGCATAATCATTCTGCACATGGTCTAATATTAGCAAAAACTAAATAGGAAAAGGATACCTTCAACTTGCTAAAATGAATGACGCATGTAAGAAAACAGAAGAAAGATATTAGTCAGAAGGTGTATTTTTACAGTGTATAAAGCATGTGACAACTTGAAAGAAAACCGAATTAAATAGTTCAAAGTAGATTGGGATAGAAGACAGCCAAGTGTTGATGCTAAAGTGGTTTTACTCTGCAAAATTCTTGTTTTCATGTAGCTCTGAATATACTCAGAGTGATGGATGAAAAGAGTTATTTTCCTTGGAAGTAGGAAAAAGTTTGTTTTTATTAAAGTAAGTGTGGAAAGTTTTGTTTTGGATTTTGCTTTTCTATCAATACCACGTATTGATTAATTTTAAAATGTTGCTTATGCTAGTGCTTAAGATTCATCCACTTTATTATTCCTTGAAATTTCTTGAAATTTTGCATCAGTGCAAAGAACATTGTTTATATTTGCTGGTAGTTTTGTTAAATTTTGGTCCTGGAAACTTCTAGCCTAGGCCTCCTGAGGCTTGTCCTAGCTTTTTTAAAAATCTGTCCTACTTTCTAGGTTTTGCCCTACTGATACATGCCACATTCTAGGGATAGCTCAATGATGCTGCATACAGATTTATTGTATCAAGTTGCATTCACAAATTAATGTGTCATTATCCAACATGCACATTTTATTTTCTCGGTTTAAATAGCATTGCTCATAAGCCATGGTGCTTATAATTGAGTTTGTATGGGAAAAGTCCTGGTTCATCTCATAATGTCTACATGCTAATGCAAATTGATAGCTTTCCGTGCATTACCTTATTTAATACTGGTTTAAACTCTGCAGTCATTTCACATGGTATTTGCCTATTTTGCTACCTCTGCTAAAGAAAGAATGTATGAGATATACAAACCTATATCTTGGTAGTTAGGAAAGTTCACTTGGTTTACTGACAATTGTTTCTGCTGCTAGAATACTTCCCAAATGTCTTGGATATTCTTACTAAATATCAGAAATCTTCACCACAATTTTACTGAAAGATACTTATCTTTCTCTTTCACTCTCTACATATACTCCTATCGTTTGTAACTCTAGGAATTAAAAATGTTGCTTTGTCATAGGGAAAAGAAGGAATTGGTATTGGAACTTACACTGATTTTTGCACCACTATCTCAAAATAGAAGGTGGATATCAGCACACTTGCTCCACTTGTATTCTAGATGGGGAAGAGGCAAAACAAAGATGGATTCATCCAGAGGTGTCTACAGGATGTGGTCAAAAATGTTAACATGGCTTCCTTCTATTTTATCTTTTTTTTTTTACCACACCCAGTAGATACGCTTAGGGCCATCATTCAAAGCCTATTGGATTGACAGAGCAGCTACTTTGGGTATGTCTCAAGCATTGGGGTGACACTTGGTAGGTACTTGGAAGGACTTGAGCTGAATGTTACACTTTAAATAATAGAAAAAGTGGGATTGCTTCTTTCATGACTGTTTGGTGCTGATGTTAGAATTCTTTCTAGTGAACTAAGTTTGCTCACTCAAACAATCAGTGAGGAGCAAGGCTGCACAATTCCAAGGACTGAGGCATATTTTTCCCTGTGCCCACGAGCTAAATAGTGGTGGTCACACTGGTTGCAGACCAGATAGGATAAGCTCTATCATGGGAAGTCTCTACAATCCATTTTTCCTTCCTGTCTAAGATAAGAAGTTACCTTAATTATGTAGATAGGGAAACTATTAGCAGAAACCCAAAAAGAGTTGCTAAGGAAATGATCTAAATAAAGTGTATCCCAGAAGGTTGTTGCTCTTTTTTTTAAAAAAAGTTCTTTTTACTTGCTTATTTAGTTGAATTGGTTTTATAGCTTTTTTGTTGTCGTTTATTCTTGTTATTTATTAGATGTGTAGCCTGCAGTTCAAGATGAATACATTTTGAGGGAGGTATAGCACTAGCATTCATTCCCCCCCCCCCCCCCATTACAGCAACAACCCCATGAAGCCAACTGGGCTAAGGGCCAGTGATGGTCCAAAGTCACCCAGGAAGCATCAGTAACTGAAGGTGGACTAGAACCTCAGTCTCTTTGCTCCTAGCTAACCCAATATCTTAAGCCCCTGGGCCACACTGGCTGTCTTATTTGTATTGATAATAAATTACCTTATTGAACTAATTGTGTTCTGTTACATTATTACAAACACAACATAATAATGTAGCTATTACAATTACATTATAATAATTGGTCATCCATAATTCATAGGAATTTCTTCAATTGACAATTCCTTAAATATTTATTCCATATATTATCCATCATCACCTATGTATACATTTCTTTTTTATTTATGAATTAATATTTAAATTAAAACAGTTAACAAGATATATTTAGTACCAAATTGTTAAAGGAAATGCCATTACCAAAGACATTTGAGTCTTTTGCAGGAAAACAGTAATAGTTTGGCCACTTTTTTAATTAAATAGAAAAGGGGGGGGGAGAAAAGGTATGTTTGGCAGACAGCTAAGATGGTGAGTAAAAAATCTTTAAATAATGAATATAAACTATTAAGACTGTACAACATATTCTATGATGCATGCTTTAAATTTCAAGGGATGTAGGATGAATCAGGGTGAATTAACAAGACTTCTCTTTTTGGAATAAAAAAAAAAACAAAGTAACCTGATTACTTTCAAGAATGAATTTCCACAGCTGATCTGTAGTCTTGTAATGTAATTGGTTTGAAAAAGCAAGTGTAGATTTTCAAATGACATAATAGCTTAATGGCTAATATCCATTTACAAGAGAAAAAACATAACTGAAATAGGTAGTGATAGATGACATTTATAGGGAGAAATGATCAGACAAATTGCAACTTATTTTAAGGTTAATTCTGAAAGGGAGCACAAGTATGTTCTGGATGATTTGTTTACGAAAATGCAGGACACCCATGTGCCCAATTATTCAAACCTAGAGATGTTTTAACATTTTTTTCCAGTTCTCAACTTACATGGACAATTATGAAAAAGTTCTGAAAACAAACCTACAAAATATTGAATGCAAGGAAATTTGCATTCAATATTTTTGCATTCACAAAAATAAGAATTTAAGGAAATAATGGAAGATAAACTTTTCATTCATGAGAAACTGTCCAATTTGGATTGGCATATAACAGAAAGCTATCTCTATCCTTCAAACTAAATTTATATTTTGAGCTATTACTGAAAATTATTAAATGTAATCTAGAGATAGAGATTAGATTAATAACATTTTTTGTTATTGTGGTTTCACAAATTATATCACATACACTGGTCTTTCTTTGGAAAAAATACTAAAATGCAGGCATGAGGTTGTCATATCATAGATATTAATGGAACATTGCCTAAACTAAATCATTTTCACTGAAGTCTAAGCAAGACAGAAGCAACAATAATTAAAACAGTTTTTTTTCCAGTCGGTTCCCCTCCTCCCACTTTCGTACTATATAAAAGTTAATTCAAACAAAACGGGGATTAAAAAGAAATGAGTACATGTCAAAACTAAAGTTATAGCTTATCAGGGTTTGCCGTTGTTCAAATCAGTTACACTTTTATAGCATAGCCATATTGAAAAATAGCAGTAATGAGAGATTTTACTTATTACTGTCTTTTATGTGAAAGTGACAAATGTAAGATTTCTGAACCATAAGAAGACAGCAAGGAATGGTTTGATTGATTTCTGGCAATTCAGGGTAGAGAAATACCATGGAATAAGGCATGTACTGGAAGAATTGCTACTTTGAAGTTGTCAGCTAGGACAGGAAAATGGGATGGGAAACAGGAATGGTTGGAATTTCCTGGACTCAAAGCATCAGAATCTACACATATAGACAAAGTGAGGCTATGTTATCTAAAGATTTGGACATTACCCTTCATTCAGAATTTACTAAATATGAATAACTTTTGCCTGTCATGGCTAGGTATGATAAGATTTAAAATTCATATTAAGGTTGGTTTGAAGAAGAACTTAGAAATGATGCCTCTCACTAATCATGGGAGAACAATTTGTTTATCGTTTTTATTACTTAGTAAAAAGCAAAAAAAAAAAAAAAGCTTCACTCATCTCTTTCCAAACCTAACTATCAAGATTTATGAAGATGTGGACATCCACTCTTATAATCCTGATAGCAGCAAGATACTTCTCTTACAAAACTTAGAAATTAATTGTAATATTAATATAACAGCTTTGGATCCAGATAAAACCATAAGGAACTTTATTTGCAGACTGCTGCTTTCCTGATTTTATTCCCTTACTTGACATAAACCTGCATTTTTGAGGGTTGATGGATCCTCTAGAATGACAACAGATATGAAACATGGGAAATTACAGTAGATTGAGGAAATCAAAGAAATTCAGCAAGGCTGCTTCTCCACTTACACAGAACTCATCTCAGCTTAAGCACCTCTCAGGGAAACATGAATTAAAAGGAGAAAACAAGAGCAACAACAAAATGTAATAGCTGAGACAGAAATTATACTGTTCCACACCAAGCAATTTTTGATCTTAAATTAGGATAGCTTTTTTATTTTATTTTACTTTTTATTCCTGTGCTTTTAGTATTGTTTCAAGGAGCTGTGGTACCAAAAGGTTAGGATATCGTTGCCATTTTGCCCCATAGTGGCAGCAAAAAATAATGTATGCAAATAATTTAAAAGAAAAGAGACTGAAGCAAGAGGGCAATTCAACAAACATTGGGACTTACTGAATAAAACTATTTGATACATTCATAAAGTTATGGCAACCCAATAAGAGTAGAGCTGAAGAAGAACAGAGATTTCTGAATTCAAATATTTTATCTTCCCTATCTTCTACTTCTTATAAGGGATAAAGACTCTATTGCTTATGGTGAATTTATTCTTGATATGGATATTGGGAATTTCTAACTAATGATCACAAACAAAATTTATGTTCAGAATGTCAAATGTTTAAAAGATTTTGAATGGTGGATTAATACTGGTTATGTGCTGATCTGTTATAACTTTTATGTATCTCAAATTATATACATACATATATATGTTAACATTTTAATTTAATAAAAAAATAAAAAATGAGATAAGTACTTATTAAAGGAGGAATGTACCTTTAAAGCAGAACAATGGTGAGGCCATAGAGGCTCTCCTCCAATTACACTCAATTAAAGACCTCTTATTTCTATATTTTCTTGTTGTTCCATCTTGAAATCTTTTCCAAGCAGAGTGCCCACTACAAAATAAATCATATTATTTCAGGTCTGCTGCATGTATCTTTAAAACAGAAAACAAGAGGAATAAATAAACTTAAAAAGAGAAAAATATTCAGGGAAACACTGGACGATTATTTCAGTTTTGAAAATAGATAGTAAAATGTCGATGATCTCTTTGATGCATCAGAGCAAGATGACTTGAAAAGGGGGGGGGGATTCCCAATAAAACTGTTCATATATATGATAAGCATGAAGGGCAAAGGTTCTCAAGGAGCAGTGTATGGGATCTACAAATATGCCCATATCAGAGTCATATAGTTTGATAAGCCTGTTAGGATTAATACTGACAAGTTTGGGCAATGTACAGTTGTCTTGCATAGAGAATCTCCTTCTGAAAGAGGTTGGAACTGATGATGAGCAACTGGATTTGCTTACAAAGGGTAGGGAGGAATTTGTTTTAGAAATTAAGGATTGCTTATTTTGAGCACAGCAGAGAAAGGAAATAATCATTTGGCGAATCCATTGATGGTCAAAAGATAAATTATGTCCTGGGGAAAATGTCTCCAGTTCTTTTTGCTCTCTGCATTATTCCAGAACATTCTAAAATAGTCTTTTAATTCTTTCCATGGAAATTACTTGTGGTAGGTTTCCTCCCTATCCTTAACATTTGCTTTGATCACCACTGTTGTAAGTGCAGATCCATAGTGCCGTTCAAGTTGAGATCAGTAACATCTAAGAAATCGATGTTGAAGATGCTGGGCCCTGTAGTGGTCAGGGAACCAAAACCATTGGCTGAGCTTGGTGGTGTGAGGTCCAGCCATTCCATTGTTTCCCAGGGAGACTCTGTGAAGCTCATGTGCAAACCAGTTCCTTCACCAGATGAGGGAGACAACTGAGTCTCCATGGGCGAGAGGGGAGTTGGCAGGATCTCATGGGGTGAGACTAATTCATCGGCAGCCTTGCTAGAAAATCCTTCCATTGCTCCATCAAAGTGAGGTTCCTCAGTACCCAATTTTAGAAGGGTTACTTCACTTGACCGCCCAAGAGGACTGTGGGAATTTAACAAGATTTCCAAATGACTGTCATTGCTAGAGCAGCGTTCAAAGGAGAGTTGATTTGAGGTGTTTTGCTCAAATGCAGTGGATGCCTTTAGTAGCAAGGGTGTTCCAGAAGTTCCTGAAGACACTGTTATCTGAGGTACCTTCTGAAGACAAGGGCGGTCCTCTTTAGCATTTGCAGGCATTTCTGTTTGCAAACCAAATATGATAAGTCAAGAGCAAAACTTCTTTGGGTCTACTTCCAATGTTAAGTGAATACACTTCTGCTTGTGCAACAGGACTTCCCAACAGCATCTGCCATTGCAATGACACATTCCAACCTTTTGTTCTGGCTGAATAAAACCTTACTTGATGCTATACTAGCTCAAAGAGGTACAGAAGGGATGGTGAGAGGAACACGGAGATCATATAAAATGCCTGCAATTGAAAGTAGTGATGAAGCTGTGTTAATATAAGACAAAGTTGTTATAAGTGGTTTGTAATGCCTGCCTAGAATCAACAAAAAAGCTGATGTAAAGAATTATTAGAATAAGAACTGATCATACAGATATGTGGACACATGCTTGAGCATGCAAAGGGTAAGAAATTGTTAAAACATTTAAATTAGGTATGAAGGCATTAAAGTCGTGTGCGTGATTCACTGGAGCAGACAGAAGCTAGTGAGGAAAAACATTTACAAAGGTTTGATTGTGGAGTCTAGTATTTTGTGTTTCTCTCCCCAAATGCCTGAGGCTGATAGAGAGGCTTACATATTCACAACACAAAGTGCTCACAACAGAAGGCAAACAGAAAGAAATGCTTCCAGTGTTCCTCACAGAATGTCCCCATCCACATTGCCTTGCCTCTTTTGGTGCTGTGTTTTCCTTTGGGGGCATACTTTCAAGCAAAGCAGTGAGCAGCAGTTACCCACCTTTTTTTTTTAATTATATAGGTCTATATAAATATATATATATATTAAAAAAATTCCGCATAGTATGCCAACTTCTTTTGGGTTTTCTAAACAATTCTTTTGTATTCTATAATAGGGAGCCTTTGCGCACCAAAGGAAGAACCAGAAGACACATGGGTGCCCATGCGTATGACCATGCCAGTGTCATTTTCAGAGAGCTTGGTCGCTTTGCCCCTTATTGCATCTTCTCTCTTGGTCTACAAAGTGCCAGCTCTTACCTACAGTCTGATTTTTCCCTGATTTTATTCAGCATTATTTTTCTTCTTGCAAACAAGTTCTTAATATTTGTATTGTTGTTGAATGTGTTTGTATTTTTAATAATGTTTTGGTTGTCACTGATTTCAAATCTTTATTCAATCTTGCAAAGTTGAGGTACAAATTGACAAGATAAACCACAACAGTTTCTATGACCAATTCCTAGGAGTTGCTAAAAACAGCTAAGCTTCCAGAATGGCTTCTTTCTTCTTAATCACTTCATATAAATGTGGCAAAACCTAACAGTTTCTATAATGGTCAATGGCTGTTCTAGTAAGCAGATCCTGGGAGTGGTTAGATTGAATGCTGCTTATGATAATTAACTAGGCAACAGCTATTTACATATTTCTTCGGGAGGTGGATGGAATCCATGATGGATTTCATCCCCCACTCACCTGACAAGCACAGAATATCTGCTATGGGTTGCCTGAGGTTTATATCCTGTTTTGCTAGGTTAGAACCAAGAGCCTCATTCTACTGGCATCACCTACCTCCAGTTTCAATAAGCACATCTAATAATTCATCCATCTGCTGACTTTGAGTCATTTGCTGCAGCAAGAAAAAAAAAGCAGAAGAAATTTGTAAGTGAGGAAATGGATTACATATTTTTATTGTAAGAGAAATCACTCTTAAAGGATTGAGATATCATAGTTCTGTAGTGTTTTCACTGGCATTAAAAATCTGATGTAAAAGCTAATTCCCCACAGATATCAACAGTTTTTAGTGCACAGAACGCAGATGAGCAATCTGTGACTCCCAAGGTTGCAGGTGGTTCCCTGTGTCCCCTTTTGCTGGTCTTGGAGCCAGAACCGACCATAACTGCTAAAAACTAGCAGTATCATTTTGACTTGGGGACCACATGAACAATGTAGTGTCAACACTGAAAGGGTTAAAAAATAAGAAATACCAGGGGAACCATTTTTGTATAACTTGGCCTCACTTTTTCTATAGCCCTCTAACAATAGTATTGTCCATGTAACCCAGGGGGTTATGCCCTAAGGTGCATTATTTAACATCCCATTTTTCAAATATTAAAACAAGAATGAAAACCCTTTCCTGGATTCACTGAGATATTCAACCTCATCTTTTTCATATTTACTAAGAAATAATTCCATCAGATTTACAGTTCTTACTTGTTTGGGTTGTAACCTCTCTGCAAGGGAGGGAGGGAGGGAGGGAGGTGTCTACATGACTCAAGTGAATGCAATCCAGGGCTATTTCACCTCTAATAAAAAAAGTTGGCTTAATTCCTTTGTTTGTATTTTTTATTAATTCTGTAAATTGCAATGTCACACTATGACAAGCTGGATCCAGATCAGCTAGATAACTAGATACCATAGAGCTAGGGGGTTGGAAGCTAGATGAAATAAGAAGTCTTGAAGGACTGCAAAGGAATCGCTCCAATTGTCTGTACTTCATTGACCAAATAAAGTTAATAATCCTGTAACTTCAGAGGAAGAATCATTTTTCCTTTAGTAAATTTGCTGCTATCCCAGACTCAATGCACAACTTGAGCATGTGTCTCAGATTTTCAGATTTGTCATTATTTGATCCCCCACCTCACCTGCCTGGACCACACAGATCAGGTGTTTTTAACCTGGATTTTGTGGATTCCTTCCTGCTCAATCCATGGTTAGATTTCAGGGAGTCTATTACTCTGAATTGGAAAATATTACAATTCTATTTTTACTAGCTTCTGTGTTAACAACAAAGTAATCTATGACTCTAGACTCCAATTAAATTTATTCTTCAAAAAATCTCACTAACTGAAAGTATTAAAACTAAAAAAGTGTATTTTGTTATTAATTTGATGGATTAATAAAACATATATTCCTGTATTATATATTTAATAATTTGATATCTGTATTTGAGCATAATTGGTTTCCTTTATATTACACAGTAAATCCAAGTTTTTTTATTTTATGCATTCAAAATAAAAGAATTCCTTTATTTAAGGACCAGACTCTTTAAAAGGTTATGAATCCTTGCAACAGATTGTGTTTTGTGATGAAATGGTACGATAGTAAAAACAACCTGTAGCCAAGCACAACTCTAAAATACCATCCTGGGCCATTACCTGTTTTACAGCATCAGCATAAGGTGGAGGCTGTTTTCCCTCTGGGAGAGCAGCACTGGATTTACAAAAGCTGGCAGGCAGAATGGAATACTTTGGGCCCCCTTGTGTCGGCACCTATATGGAAGCAAAATCAACTGTAGGAATCCAAACGAATCTCAGTTCCTTGGCAGCTGCATCTGAAGTCCCCTAAAACTTCCTTCATATTGGTTTCAATCATAGCTTAATGCAACCCCAAGCAAAGGGGAAAAAATAAACCCAGATCTTGCCAAAAATACTTTTTCCAAGCTGATACAATCTTACTGAAGTGATGCAAAGAAAACTTTGCTTAGTTTTCACCCTCGTGTAACCCATAAAACCAACTTTATTTCCAAATGATCCAAGGAAGACATTCAATAATGGAGGTTCTATTCAGTGCTGAAACAATGTCTGGAACCCATCTCACCAGTTTAAAAATATCTGCACTAACTCCCAATTTATTTTCAGACTGAACTCAAAGTGTCATGTTTATATTTTAAAACCCCAAACAACCTGGGATCTGCCTATTTTGAGAGGTTTTGTATACAGTTGTCCAAGTATTATAAGTATATCCAAGCAGCTGTTTCTTTACATCTAACGTCACTGGAAATAGTGATGGTGGTTATGGTTCCCTGACTCTTCCCCCAGAAATACTTCCTGCTCAGTCCTTTTAAGATATGACTCTTATTACTAGATTGCTTGTACTGACTATTTAAAGGCCAATGAGTACATTACAAAAGCAAAAGATGTGTATTTTCTTACCAGAGTTGTGCACAAATGGCGGCTGGGTTGTGGAGAATTGCTACGTCCTTCTCCCTGATGGCTAGGAGACATGGAGAGAAGGTAATGGCTGTTTGGTGAGGGTGGAAGGCTGATATGTTGAGGACTCTTCGCTGCCTCTAGTGGAGAATGCTGAGGAGAGCACTGTGGGCTTAGGAATGTGGAGGACAGTATGCCATTTTGTCCAGAAGGTTCCATGCAATGGCTATTTACAAGATGAGGCATCTGAGGTGTTCCACAGTTACTTAATGCCTCAGAATTGCTAGCCTTAGCTTTCAAGGCAGCTTGCTTAGAGGCAAATGGGCAGCTGGACACTGCATTCTCCTGCTTGACCGGAAAACCAAACACAGGTGCTGGGGGCTGCTTATCTTCCAGTCCATGGCTTCTTTTGCGCTTCTGGAGTTGCATTCTCAACTCTTCCACTTGCCTCTGCTCCTGCTGCAATTTCCAAGTCAGCTCATTGATTACTTTTTGCTTTTCCACCAGCATTTTGTCTTTCTCTGTGTCAACCCTTTCAACATCATGCTGGATGCCAGCTCCATTGATGCTTCCCACCAGGTTCTCCTCACAACTACCTTGCACAGGTGAAGGGTGCAAGACAAACTGTGGGGAAGACAGTGGTCCTTCATTGAAACTGTCTGGCAAGGAGCCACTCACTGAAAGGTCAGAGGAAGCTGGAGAGATGGGTGGAGTGGAACTAGTGCTGCCAAAATGGTAAAAGCCATTGGATAACAGACTGGTAGAAGACTGCGACGGATAACTGGAGAGAGAGCTTGTTGGGGTTACTGGGAAAGTGACAGTGGTTATTTCATTGAAAGAAGCCACTGAATTCCCACTGCACTCTTGAAAGGGTCTAAGACGTTCCATCAAGGCTGTTTTTGTACCTGACACAGGCAGTCCCCTTATTCGGAGTTGCTGTCTTAATTCTGACACCTGTAATAAAATGGCTTCATTAGTGCCAACCTCATTTTTTAATTTATTGCATGTTTATTGTTGAAAAAGAAACTTCTTTTAATCAGATTGATTTAGCCAAACAAATCTAGAATCGTTTGTTCCGACAGAGAGATCTTATTATTACCTAGCCTTCAGAGAAACTGCTATTAACTGTAAACTCTAAATTGGGGTACCTTGTACAACATTGTCATTTCTAATGGATTTCTATAACCCTAGGATTATTTGGAATAATCAAATCATAGTTTGCAGTAATGAGCCTTTGTCTTACAGATATTTGTCTAAATTCATATGTCAGGATGATTCTAATGCAGAATTTCTAGATATAGATCAACCAATTTATGTAAAAGAAAAACAGAATCAAAGAAGTCATGTTAAGGTGGTTTAGATGAGGTAACCAGAATTCAGACAAGTAAATTGACTCTAACACTGTGCAGAGATCCAAAATCAAAATCAGGTGCACCTTTTCCAGGAGTCACATAAAAGCCCAGGAAAAGATATGGTACTTTTAAGTAGTTACTTACATGTGACCAAAAGGTGATTTGGCATATGTATGCCAGACCACCTTCAAATCCATATCATTGGATTTGTCACCCATCTTAGATTACATACAAAATCACAATTTGCCATATACTGCATGTTAAAGTGCTGCAAATTTTAATTTTGAATACAACAGAAGTTTTAATTAAGAATTGCACTACTTAGGAAGACTTTTTCACACTGGTCAAATTGCTTGAGTTAGCAAACAACATATTTGCAAGACTGAGCTTACATCGAGTTCTAATGTGATCTTCAATGTAAAGTAATGTGCAGTGTGTGACAGTTAAGGAGCCTCAATTCAGCTTTGTCCCTTTTCCAAGAACCTCAGAAGGTAATTTCAATGAGTGATGATAAATATATTTGTGCCTCTTTTGGGGATGTTTAGGATAGGAAAAAGCCACTGAGAACAATCAAAACAATCCCAATTCCACTGTAAACATATAATGCACACCACAATAATTCAAAACCTGCACCAGAAGGTTTGAAGAGTAAGAAGGAAATGGGCTGGTTTTCAGAAGCTTCCTATCTCCACTTCTACACATTAAAAACTGGGGTGGGGGGAATCCCAATATGATAATTTTGGAGGTTGCGTTTGGAGTGGGAAGAGCCTTTCTAATACAAATGAAGGCAAATATACCTGTCCCAGAATATGTTGCAGGATCCAATCTGGGTCGGTCACCAGGACCAATGGTCTTTTAACTTTTCTAATACCCCCCACCCTTTTTTTAAAGAGACTCACTGCCCTATCAGCAACATATACTTGGGAATGTATTGGGGTGGGGGTTTGGTGCAGATGATATTTATTGGCTGTGGTTTAGCACTCTGGTATATACAGTAAGTTGCAGTTTCTGGTTTAGCTTTTGGCAAATGCAGGCTATTGCAATTGATTCAACAAACCATAATTAAACCTTCTATAACTTGCCATGTCTTCTAACAGTGTTACACTTTACTCTGCGCATAATACTCACTTTAAGGTCATCCAGATTGGATGGAAGAGGACCTGGTTTGAGGGATGAAATGCAAGATGGTCCAGAAAAGGTTCCCTTCACTGGAGAAAGAGTATTATTGGTGATTGTCGTAGGAGAAGAGCCTGAGATTTTAGGCTCATTTGGTTGTCTAAAAAAACAGGAGCAACATTTGTTACTGTGATTTCTTCTTTTGTTTCTAAATCAATGTCAACTGTCAGTGCATCAGTTTTGATCCTAGTTTTATTATGCATTCACTCTCATTTTTTCCTGAGATTTCAGTACAAAATAGTAGTACTTTAGCAGAATTTCAAACTGAGAGATGCTTTGGCCCAATACAGGCTTGTAGTGCTCTCTTTAAAGGCTTATTACAAGGTCTTCAAGTTAGAGAAGAATTCTTAGTTTAGCAGTTCAAGTCCTAAGCCCCAAACTCTTCTAATTTCTTGTAGCAAGGGCACCGAAACCTACTGAATTGATCCTTCATTCCCAGTGAGCAAACTGCACACCCAGTGGAAGTAGTAGAAATATTTGAAACATGCAAGTCTAATATTTAAAGGATGCTAATCAGTCCCACCATCAAATGGTGGCATAGTTCTGTTACAAATGGTCACCTAGGAAAACAGAAAAACACTTCTACCAGCAACTCACTTTAGCTGAGAGGAATGTGATCCAGGGTAATTGAACTGCTGGTGGTGTCGATGCTGCTGTTGCTGGCTAAGGATCTGGAGCTGCAGGAAGAGCTGTTGTTGTTGCAGTAGCCTGGCATAGGCAGAGTCCATGGGAGGAGGGGCCTTCTCTGCCTTCTGGTCTGGTGGAATGTATTGGTGATACTTTAGCTTCTTCACTTTGGGCTTCATCTCCTTGGGTTTTTTGTGGCGATTCTTGCCATCACTTGAAGATTTTGACTGTGTGTTCCACACAAAAAAATAGCAGGAAGGTCAGCTGGAACCCAGAACTTTTGAAATGGCCTGTCTAATTAACCCGTTTCTTGCTAAGTCTGAATTCTCAGGACTACCACTCATATTTGGTACCCTTAAAAGCCTTTGAGCTTCAAAATGATGGGTGAGAAATATAAGATAAACTTTATTCACTCTTCCTCTTTTTATATGCAATTCAGAGCATAAAACAATTGGCATTATGTTCACATATATCTATATAACACTAACTGCCATCCCTGCCTTTCTGATTAATTACTTCACTTAATAAATTATTCAAAATTGCCTTATTATTCATATTTGTGTGCTGTAATTTCAGAAATATTTCAGTTACTTTTAAAAACCAGCATTTGTCTTTCAGAGCAACCATGATTATGGTTTAGTTGGTCAACTATTGTTAACCCCTCTCCTTTTCTCTAAATTATGAAAGATACTAACATACCTTTACAGATGTAGTGATAGGAATAGGAGGTGTCTGCTGCCCATTGAGCTGTTTTGGACTTTCTGGCTGGTTATTTTGTAGAGATGATGAATCAGCCATATCATTTTCAGAATTATGAGAATGACCCTGAAATTTAAAAAAAAAAAAAAGACCATTGAAAATACACATGACAATTATGCCATCAATGTAAATAGTTTCATGAAGATTGGTGCAGACAGGCAATTTATGAAGGCATATATAAGTGAATTACTCTAGTTGGATTGACAGCTGGTTACCTGGTCTTCATTCCATTTTTCAAAAATTGTAGTAAGGGCTTAATCTATATATATATTTCTTGTTGTTGCTTATTAGCTCATGGGACATATCAAAATACAGAATGAAACATAACACATGATACAATAGAACCATATATAAAAGTGGAATATGAGAAACAGATTAAATAAAAAGGATAAACTAAGGAATAAAATATTAGGTTATTGAGTCATCTCTACAATTTACCCCAATCAGACCCATCTATGTAGATCCCAACTAAACTGTTTTATTCAGACCAAGGGCTGTGTTGTATGTGATTTTTCACTTCTGACCATACATGAAATATGTATAGTTTTAATATGAGGGTTCTAATGGTTCATTTATCTGATGTTCAGTCCAAGATGCCAGTCTCTTTCTTTCTTATATGGTTGACACTCAAATAATATATGTGCTATATCTTCTATAGATGGAGTTCTGCAAATACTAATATGTTCGCTATAAGGGACTTGATTAAACAGTCCATGTTTAACCATTGTACCTCAAATCTGATATGTGTAGGCTGAATCTATACATTATCTTACCTCCTTGAGGGATACTTTTATTTGGTAATTCTCCATGCAGCATATCACATGGATTATGTATCAGTTTAGAAACACTCTGTACAGTTAGGAAAATCCTTATGGTGAGTCATAGCAAAAGCAGTCTTGCATCAAAATTAAGCAATAAGTAGAGTTGTCTGAAGCTCAGGCAGATATGAATGACAACCTGTGAGAGTGATGAGGTATACTGTGGAAGTCTGATCATCTTTTAGCTTGCATATGGTTAAATAAATCCATGCTGCCAAATGATTCACATATACAAGTGTATGTACAAACAACATTTTTGGGATTTTCATCATAATCAATACCTGTTGCAGATGACTTTGGATGGCCTGTTAAACTATTCCTATAAGTAATATGTATACTAAGACCAATCACATTTATCAGGCTGGTGTTATTAGGAAACCAAATGGATGAGCATTGGGCTCCCTGCCATAAGTGCTTGGAAAATGGAGATGCCCCATGCCAAGTACATTGTGTAACAAAGCTGTTGGAATGAAGAAGAGCAGCACTAGCCAAGAATATGTCGTGTTCAGGTTAACAGTGGCTTGGGATCCTTTGCAGGACACCTCCATGTTTTATGTAACCACCAAAGGCTGACCTTATGGATGACTTCCTGCACAGGCTACAGTGCCCTTAGAGAATTTTGACATGTACTGCACCTTTAAACCCATACATTGATTGTATTTGCTCAAGAAAGAACAAATTATTCCTCTTTTGAGAGTTAGACTCAATTAGCTAATTCTAAATGATATTTTAGAATGAAGGAAAATTACAAAAATATATAGCAAAGGAGCTTATAAGAAATATCCTTACTACATTGGTTGTAAGGTATCTTTTCTTCCCAAACCAGACCTAAGAGTACTGATGGGAAGAATGGCTATCATTTTTATACAGTTATTAGCTATGCACTGTCCCAAATGAAGATAAGATCTTGGTGACTTCACAGACATTTCTGTGTGGTTTTCCTAGTAGCAATATGGAAGTACCTTGCCATTGCCCTTTTCTATTTCCTAGTCATCAAATTCCCTGACATCCCCAGATAGAATCTCATCTGAATATTAACCAGATCTTTCCTTAGCTTTTTGAGATCATCCAAGACTACCAACAAAGGCCATCAGCTATAGAATAATTTGAGATGATGAGCCAGTAATTCAGCAAAATGGGCAAAACAACTTCTCATGTAAGAAGTAATACATTATACAATCTTATTAATACTTTCAATGAGATGATAAATTGAATGGGATTTTGGTTCTCCTACTACTGAGCAAGACAAATTCCAAACTGTGATGTGATTGAACATAATATTCTCTGCAATCTAACCTGCAGTAGGTAATAAAAATATATAATAATGTATCTAAGAATAGCTTTCTCACATCAGATCAATTGTAATCTAGCAAGTACATGTAACTGTCAATCTGACAAATAATCCATCATAACTCATGTTGCATAAAATGACAGTCTACGAACCCCTTCTTCTTAGCTAAACACAAACTCAGGCACAACAGCTGAAATTCAAATATTAAAAATGATTATTTGACCGAGTGTATACTAGAACCTGTATATTCTACCAAAATCAGAGCAAAGCAAATTTGTAGAAGTCATATATCAACCTAACAGTCTACCTTGCAACTGATATATACGTTATAGTCACTTCACTGAATTTTTTTTCTGAGCAAAATTGTTTTTATTTAATATGAGGCTTTTAGGCTTTCTCTAACCCAGAGAAAATAGAAAGCTGGAGTTACAAGTACAGTTTTTCCTCATGCTAAATTGGAGAGGGGGAAATATTGCCTTCTGCTTGCACACCTTGCATATTAAAACATATAATAAATAACCAAACAGTGAAATTAGCATGATGACCATGGTGATATGGAGATAAACCATTATGACCAGGATTTCAAAGAGATGAGAGACAGGAAACCGAGGGAAGTGTAATGGCAAGCTAATAACCATGCCTCTTCTACGCTGTGGTTCTTACCATATGGCAAACCAGTCATGCTAAGGCTCTGTCATCACAGAGAAAGGGGAAATGAGATCAATCTAGACTCATTATGCTGTCAAATCTTAGAACATTCCATGTCAACAGCACTACTGTAGTGTACAAAGCTGTCTACAGATTGGGTCAAACAATTCCAGGCTCATTTTTTTATTAAGCTAGATATGATCCAGTTATTTTTCTCAAATTTGGAAAGAATGCCAATCATTTTCCAAGCTATTTTTGGGCCCTAGAATATTTGTTAAAATGTATCTGCCCATCTCCTAGACAACAACAAAAGTCCTTTGTTGGTTGGACTTTGGGTTGGATTCCCCATTCTAGAGTCCAGTGTGGAGGCCTAGAGGTGGAGCTCTTGCCTCATCAGGAGGCTTTGAGTTCAATCCTAAAACCGCTGGGGCCAAAGATTCTCGCAAGCAATGACTTTATTTAAAGAGATCTGATATATTCTTGAGGTACACTTCAAAACAAATTCTAAGCTATGAAGTCTCTCTAAGTCAAAGGTTAACTATTACTGAATCTTCAAGCCTCATTTTCTCAAACAGAACCCCCCCCCCTTTTTTGCTTTCACACAATCTAAGAGCAACATTCCTGAATTTTTAAAAAAATAATAACCTGTTGTTATTTAATAGGAGATGAGACTTGAAACAGCTGCACCAAATAGTATTTTACCTGAGTTGTCTCAGACACTGAAGGAAATGCTGCTTCAGGTATTTTGATTCTTGCTGCCAATTCTGTAGACCCTTGAGAGTCCTCACTTTTAACTTGCTCTGGGGACATCCCATCATTGCTGCTATCTTCTTCAAAAGCAAAGGCATCTGAAGATTTAGGGAAGTTTCCTTGGGTACCTAAGCAGATAGATGAGCTCAGTAATAGGTTATAATGACTTTGTTGTGAAGGGTAATAGTTATCCAATGAATTTGCAAGAAAAAGTGCAACTGGGAAATGTTCATACTTGGCATTAAGTATATATAGCATCATCAGAGGCCCCTCATTATTTGGGGGGAGGGATGTTTCATTTTAACATTAAAATGAGGACCACAAAACTGTGAATAACAAGAACTTGAGTCTACAGGAACTGAGGAACTAGGTTCCACAGCCTTTAATTGCCATTTTCCTGCCATACAACATTTCTTGTCGTGTCTTTCCAATGATGTACCTCTTGGCAGATCTGACTGTGTTAGATTGTGGGTAAGAAAGACGCGGGAAGCTCAGCTCTTCAACTTCTCTTTATTTGTTCTTACAGAACTGAGAACTGCAGCTGTGGCAGCTCCTTTTACAGCAGAGCTGTCTGCAGCCTCAACCAGTGATGGTTGTTTAAATTCCCGCTCCCGCTCACCAACCAATCAGGTGAGTATGCTAATATCTAACAGACTGAGTCAATTTTTTTTTGCAAGGCTCCACAACAGTGGTGGGATTCATTTTTTTTTTTTTTACTACCAGTTCTGTGGGCTTGGCAGGGGAAGGATACTGTAAAATCTCCAGTCAGAGGTGGTATTTGCTGGTTCTCCAAACTACTCAAAATTTCCACTACCGGTTCTCCAGAACTGGTCAGAACCTACTGAATACCACCTCTGCTCCACATGACTTCTCAAGTAAGTTGGCCTTCTTCTTTAGATAACTTACTTGACTGATAATGGAAGAAGTAGCTACAGTTGTCTCCTGTGACTTGCACAGGCTTTTCTGCTATGCGCAATCCTTGTGATCTCAGTGAAGGGGCTTCTTGATGACACTGCTAGACATGAGTACTCACTGAATACTTCACTGATGAAAAGCCCATCCAGCAAGATTGCACAGCATTGCACAGCTCACAGCAAACTCTAGTGGTCATGTGGTACAAAACTATGATCATTTGCACCAACTCAATGAAAGAGAATGCAGAGAAACCAGTGTGAATCATATGATGCAACTGAGGCATTGCCACCATCAGCTGAGTATATCACTGCAAAGAAGAAGAGGTCTGTTGCCACAGGAAATCCATATGAGGCCTCACAACCAGAGGTAGTACTCAGCAGGTTCTGACCAATTCTGGAGAACCTGTAGTGGAAATTTTGAGTAGTTCGGAGAACCAGCAAATGCCATATCTGACTGGAGATTTTGCAATATCCTTCCCCTACCATGCCCACCAAGCCACGCCCACAGAACCGGTAGTAAAACAAATTGAATCCCACCACTGCTCACAACCAGGCTGATCCACCAAAAACTACAGTAACTAGGAAGTACACTGCCCAGATGATCTACTTGAATCTATAAAAAAATTATCATACATGTAAATTTGATGTATCAAAGAGGGCCATGGTGGCACAGTGGTTAGAATGCAGTACTGCAGGCTATTTCTGTTGACTGCCAGCTGCCAGCAGTTTGGCACTTTGATTCGCACTAGCTCAAGGTTGATTCAGCCTTCCATCCTTCCGAGGTTGGTAAAATAAGGACCCAAATTGTTAGGGGCAATATGCTGTAAATTGCTTAGAGAGGGCTGTGAAGCACTGTGAAGTGATACATAAATCTAAGTGCTATTGCTATATAAATTTTAAAAACAGCATGTATTACAAGAATGTGTGCAAAATGATCGACCATAACAAAAAACAAGATCAAAACTACATATAGGATGATGATGCATGTCCATATCCTGATCTCTATTTAGCAATCATCGATAAGCAAAGCTGCAATAGCAAAGGTTTATCTAACTATAGACCAGTAATAAAACAAATCAAAATATAAATAAGCAATTCCCCCCCTCCCAAGAAAATTCCAAGAACCTCAAAATAAAGCAGTGGTCAATCCATGATGGTATTCAGTTGATGAAAACTTTCACTATAAATTGATAAAATAGAGATTGAGCTTCATAATTGCAAGAGAATATTTATTTCAGAAAAATGCTCTGATCTGGCTGTAAAACTCAGTGTATATTTCATCATCACATATATACAGATTAAATTGTGCTGAATACACAAGTTATAAAAGATTGCTGGAATTCATATCAAGTGATATTTTTTTAGCAGACCTTGTATGTATATGTTCAAGATATTTCTTAAAGTAATAAGGGCCATTATTTTCTATTCTGGGTTTTTAAAATATATTTTTGATTGTAATAGAGATATTATAATGTACAATTTGTATACAATTTGTTTCAATGTAAGTTGCTAAACCACTCTCATCAGTAACAGTTCCTGTACAATTTTTCTGGGCCAAAAGCTACACTGAACCTTGAAATGTGATACTGGATCAGCACTGCAAAAACGGTGTATCAAGGACAAAAGCTAAATCTGATATCATTTAATTTATATTTAAACTTAACGGAAATAAAATACAATTATTCTGTGATCATGTCATTAATTTCTTCTTTTGTAGAAGAAGAGATTGGACCAACATTTATCTTGAATGGTATAAGGTCCCTTGCATGAACAGGGGGTTGGACTGGAAGATTTCCAAGAATTCTTCCAACTCTGTTATTCTGTATTGAAAATTACAATATGGAAAGGAAAGATAACAGATAAAGTGTACAGACAGGATCTGCAATATCATCTACCTCTGGAATAGCTGTGGATAGTCACTGAAGGTGAGTCAAGACAGGATTTCACCACAAGTTCAACACAAATTGGGTTCAACATAATGAAAGTTTGGAAGTTTCTGCCAACCATACTCATTAGATTCAGATCCTTATTTTTATTCCAATATTTCACAGTTCTGAAGAATGCAACTGCTATCTATTCTTTCAAATTATTCCTCTCCTGTCAGTTTGTTTCTTAAAAATGGATAGAAGTGCTGGCAAAACATAGTTCGATTCTGGGAGAGAAAATATATTCAAAGGAAGTCCCCAAGACTGTGTTGCCCAATCTCTGCTCGACAAACATCAAAATTCTAAAATGCCCCCCTTTTGTTTAAATGTCGCAGTTTCCTTAGTGGAACACAATAAGGAGACTTTTTTGCATTGTGCATTTTGCTTCCTCAAGATTCAGTATGACTCCTGCCAGATGCTGCTTCTCTGCCATTCAGCAGACTGGAGGAGTTCTGGAAAGTGTTCCCGTGCAATATCCCGTCATCTAGCAGGCAAAAGCGCTTGACCCTTGGCTTCTACTGATAAGTAAAGTGCTGGGAAAGACAGGCTCTATCACAAAGCCCCCGAAAGGCTGGAAGACAGTGGAAGAAAAGAAGATTCCTTCTATGCCCTGTAATCTTTGCAGGGCCGAGTCTGGCTTTGATCAAGTGTCTTCCTGCTTAGCTAGCAAAGAGATATGTTGGATGTGGAGGGGACATGCCAATAAGGAATAAATCTTATAAATACTTAAATTCTGGTTGCTCATCAACATGCATCCATGCTCCTTCAGAGGAATCACTCAAAAGGTAACCCCATAGGAGTATCATCATTATAGTGGAAAGTGCTTTCCTTCTCTGGTGTGTTGGGTACAAAAATGTACCTGAAAAATGTACCTATTTAAACCTGAACAGGTACCTATTAAAATTACCTTTGATGGCCTCTTTCACAGCTGAATCAACAGGAATGATATTCTTCTCCACCAGCTCCAGAGGTCCTGGTCTAAGAGCAATTTTTTCATTCAGATTGTCCGCAAGACGGGCTCGTTTTAGTTTCATCTGACTAGCTTGAATGGATTCTTCTGCAGTTGAATCTGTCAAGTAAGTGGTGAAAATTATCAAGTCTTGTACTAAATGGCTTTTTCTTTTCCTGCTTAGAAAAAACTCAACAAGCACAGCATAATATACGTCATGTCAGAACAGTTTCTTTAAAGAAAAAAATGTTGGTCCCTTAACATGGGTGCAATTGTAACAAAAACCATTTAACCAGAACCCCCTTGGTTTCACATCGTAATAGAATGGAATGGAATGGAATGAAGCGGAGCAGAACAGAACAGAGCAGAACAGAACAGAACAGAATAGAATAGAATTCTTTATTGGCCAAGTGTGATTGGACACACAAGAAATTTATCTTGGTGCATATGCTCTCAGTGATTATACAAGCAATAAGTGATAAATAATTATCGTAAAAATACATTCATCATAAATCATAAGATACAATACTTAGTGATAGTCATAGGATACTAAATAAGCAATTAACCTAAATCATACTAGGACAGTAAGTAAACAATATAAATTGTTTTTTTAAAATAAACTTTATTATTCTTTTACTTCTTTTTTAAAAAAATCATAACATTAACCATACTGTAGCATCTATCTTGTACATATTTATCTCTTGTGCATATTTACATTTATATACATTGTTATACGACTATATACATTTATCTATAGATTGCTTGTCTTAAGTTCCTTTATTTTCTATCTGTCTAGATTCCAGCCAATTGTACCACATATCCCAAATTTTATAGTAATCAGACTCTTCTTTATCTTTTAACATTAGGGTCAATTTGTCTATTTCAGCACAATCCACGATTTTTTGAATGACCAATTCATCGGGGGGAATATTGTGCTTCCAACATTGTGCATACGATATTCTAGCTACCGTTAATATATGTAATACAATATACATACATATATACATACATGCATACATACATACATGTTTCTTTTTGAATATTCCTAACATAAATAACTCCAGATCCATCTCTATTTGTTCTTTAACAATTTGTTGTAACCATTGTTTTATTTTAACCCAATATCTTTGAGCCTCTGGGCAGGACCACCACATGTGATAGAATTGTAAATTGTAAAGATGCAAGCAACAAAGTTATAATCATAAGAAGATAAGGAGATGGGTAATCAGAAGATTGAGAATTATAGAGTGCATATTATATATTATATATAATATGCATTCTATTCTTCTAGATTCTTCTTCTTCTATAATGCATTCTATTATTCTTCTCATCTTTCCAATTACCTATCTCCTTAACTCCTCATGACTATAACTTTGTAGAATACATATTATATATAATGCAATGCTATGCTATGCTACATTATATTCCATTACATTATATTATAATAAGGTGGTGTGTTTGTAGCTTATTGTGATATGTCAACAAGACCAGTCAATAAATCATAACTTACTTTTGGAAAGGAAATCATGATTTCAAACTATGGCTACTGATTGGCTCATTGATTGTTACTACCTATTAGAAATATTCACACTATCATAAAGATTTATTCAACCGCATGGTTTATTTGCTTTATTCTTGGCTTGTTCAACAAAGCATGACTAAAATAAACTCTAGCAAGCATGACAAAAAAGCATAGCCAGCTAGCCATATGAAGCAAAAATAATTAGATTGTCTACATTAGATAATAGGTATCTAACGTCACAGAATCACAGAATGTAGCAATTGGAAAGGACTTTCTTTCAGGTTGGTTTATTGTACAAAAAATATTACCTGTATGGTTTCCACCTAATATTCTTCTCCATTCATGTGAGCATTTCCCACAATACTGCCCCTATCTCAATAGACTAGGAATCATTATGGGTGAGTTCTGAGTGTAAATAGACTAGAGTTAATGGCCATTATGTATATCATATATGGATAAAATTGTCTATATGTTCCAATTTTTTTTAAAAAAACCATATCTCTTAAGCTAAAAGAGAAATGCAAATCTTTTGGCCTAGTGAATAAAAGGTACCATCTATAGGTATATGGCACATAGTTGTAGAAGTATTAAGACTTAATTTACTTATTAAATGGATGGGTTTTGTTTTTTTACAATAGAGAGCAACTCAGGCAGTCTTACCTTGAACAATGTGCATATCAAGCAGTTCAGAATGCTGAGGTCTGTTTCGGATCTTGTGCTTAAAATAATCTTCAGTCTGTAGAACATAAGAGCAGAGATTGTTACCTCACTAACTTAACTTAAGGTATTAGGTATTTTTCTATAATGAGGAAACTATACTATTTTAGCAGACACTCTCTATTTTGCTCTACACTTAAAACATGATCTGCTGACAACAATTTCTAATCTGGATACCAAACTTTGATTAGTTAGATTTGGATCTGTTAAAAATCTCCATTAATATCTCTTAGAACACAAATTACTGATAGCTGACACAATGGACTGATGACATGAAACAGCAATTTAGAACATGTATTAAATTCAAAACAGTTCAGTTGTTCTTGTAACATAGATTGCAACTGCCTACAGCATATACTTGGACTAAAGCAAATTCCCTGACTTCATTTAAATAAATTTCAGGTGCTTTTTTTTGTCCATGCAACCGCTGTTGCATTTGTTTAAATTTATGTAATTAATATAATGTTGGCTCTGGAGATTCTCAGTCATCGAAACTAATGTTGTTTCAGGTCATGTGTGAAAAAAGGTTCATACAGACCTCCCTTCAAACAACCATTCTCTAGCTACCTAAGAAACATACTAGTGTAAATTTCTCATTCAGTACTTTCAATAAAGGTTAAGAATGCATCTGTAAGTCTATTTTGGCTTTCTGAAAGGATCCAGTTTGGGTCTTTTGACTCATGTAATCCTTTTCTTCTTCTTCTAGGCAACCAGCCAGTTGAAGCTTTTGAAGAGACAGTGAGATATTAACCTATGTCTGAACATACACAACACTTCAAAGATACTTCAAACTGCTTGAAGTATCCCAAGCACATTATTTTTTCACAATGGGCTACAGATCCTTCTTTACATTAGCCATGGATTTTTGCAAGACACTCATTTAAAATAATGTAATATCCCCCATCATCCTCTTGGCATCATTTTGAAAGTAGTGGATATATTTCTCCAGAACTGGTAAAATGGAGCCAATCCTTTGGCTGACTCTGGAGTTTGATCTGACTGGCTCAAGGTTAACTTAAACTTCCAATCTTCTGAGGTCAGTAAAATGAAGACCCAGATTGTTGAGTCAGCCAGATCAAACTCAATAGTATGCCTACTATACTACATTCTAATCACCAGAGCTCTTTGTACTTATAGCCACCATAACACATCATATGTGTTATTTCTCTGTTCATGGGACAATAGGATCTGGTTAATGGATGACTGGGTCTCATGCGACAGGGGACCCAAATGATTGTCTCCCCATAGGGTTTTCAGCACTCTCTAGATGGTTTACAATGACAGCATATTAAACCTACAGTCACAAACAAACAAAACTTTTTCCAGTGGGATCATAATTCTTCTTATGCAATTTTTTTTTTAAAAAAAAGGCCTAGTTGGTCTAGATCTCTTAAAAAGAATCTGTTCCATGCTGACAAAAACCTCCATGTTATTGTATTATATCTGCAAAGAGAAATGGAATCTTGTTTGAACAAAAGAATTGTTTCTATCAGGTATATCACAAATAGTATGGAGGGAATATCATCCTGTTGTTATTGTTGGACGACAGGTGATTCTTTGGTCTTTGAAAATAGGAGAACCTATACCAGTTGGGAATGAGAGGGCAAGTTGAATCATCAGTAAACATAGGAAATCCTTAACCCAATGTACATGAGAGAAACTTTTTTTCCAAATAATTTATTTGCAAGTGGGCAGTGAGCAAAATTATTATAATCCCAACCCTGCTGCAGTACTGATGTTTCTATGATCAGTTACTGAACAAATCAATCTCTTTTCATAATAAGAATCTGGTTTAACCAATGAGCATCTGTGTAGTAAGATAAATGTGAGAATATATTGCAATTTTTTGACATTGGCTCTTCCATTTTGGCTTTTCCACTAGCTTTGATTTAAATGCCTAATCTCACTGCAAGGACCATTGACAACAAGATACAGAGAGCATCAGTGATCACCAGCTCAAAGGAACTTTACACTTTCATAAGAACTGAAGAGCAATGTGATACATGGCAAGCACAGGGATCACGATTTCCTTCTGGGATTTCCCCACCACCCCCGTGGCTTGCATGATCAAGTGCAGCTAACTTGAATACACTTTCCAGCTTACAAATATTTATTTTCCTATGTCTATGTACCAATCCTAAGCTGAACATCTCATCAATGCGTTCAGCATAATTGCCTTCATTGAGACATGTCATTAAGCATTTATTTTTTTTCAGCCACAGCTTCGCAGAGGGATTTTCTGAGTCGTAAAAAGATCGTTATCCAGAGTGATGCCATCTCTATCTACCCACTCAAATGCCTACCCAGTGTTACCTTGGTTCTCTCCAAGCTCTTCTTTTGCTCATGGAAGGGAGAAGGGCTTTTCAGTGCTGCCAACAGAAACAAACAGAAGCCCAGTGAATCCAACATGTATAGGGCATACATTCAGCTTCACATTCTTCATAAATAACAATAATAGTCACAAAAGTAACACTAACATCTGCAATCTTATAGAAATCACTCGTCTTTATCATAGATTGTGTGGTGGCATGAAAAATGGTGGAGGGTGGAGCTGAGCAAAGAGACAGATGTCATCTAAACAGGAGACCCTTTCGTGGTGGTTACTGTATCTTGGTGTGAGGCAGGCTAACACAAAAGCACAGCTTATCCAGGATCTGGGCATTTTATCTGAAAAAGTCTAAGAGATGCATTCATAATCTTGCACATTAATTCTAAATACCGTTATGCGAGGTCATGCTTCTCAGATTGTGGTGGAGAATTCAGCATGATCAGTCAAAGAAGATCTAGCTGTAAACTGGACTTCCAATGAATGTCTCTCTTTAGCAACATTTGAGCTATATTTCATCACCTGGTATCAGCACTTAAAGAATCAATAAAAGGAAACTATGTTCTCCCCCTCCCCATTTTATTTCATCTTTTTTTCAGTTTTAGAAGGTTACTACAGTTATCCATTAAATTCTAATTTTCCCAGTCGTGTTTCTTTTATGAACCATTTTAGATTATGTATTACAGCAGGCAGCTTAAAAACCATTTTAAAAAGCCAACAACAAAATATATAGGAAAAAATGCCAAATTATTATGCTGGGTTTTTATCTTGCATGGCCTCTTGGGACCATCAAGTTGCCCAGAGTCAATGGAAAAAGACAGATTTGTGCAATGTTCTTTTGAAAACATTTTGTGTGCCAGCAGTGAACAGCAACTACATATTTATTCAGGAGAAGAGACAGGGAAATTGTAGTGCGTGAGGCAAAAACTGCTTCCTCAATTTTCCCAGTATTGAGTGTCCAATCATTTTCTCTTCTCTGCAGGTCCTTCACATGGAATCCAATGCCAATTATGCTATAATGCAGTTTTTTTTTCAACTTTGGCAACTTTAAAATGTAAAATTCCCCCCTGCTGGCTGGGGAATTCTAGGTGTTAAAGTCCATACATCTTGAAGTTGCCAAGGTTGAAAAACTATAGTATGCTATAGTATGAAATAACCCTAAAGCTACTGTAAGTCACTTGGAATGTTGGAATAAACAGAAAAGTGGAGTATAAATTCAACAATATATTTTGAAAATAAATTAATTGCTGGCAAGGGCACTTCAAAATTATCTGTTTTTCTATCTCCCATCTTTTTTGATTTTTCATAACATAAAATGTTTTGCTTGCTTCTTGATTCCCCCATCGTCCCTACTCTTCCTTGTAATTCTTCTTGCATGTCCTGTAGTTTAGGAAAAATGAGCAGGGGTGAAATTGACCATTGTTAACAGGCAACAGGCCAACTCTAATTGTCTGTTTGCTTCCAAACAGGCTACAGTAAAAACAAAAAGTTCCCTTCTGTTTTGCATGGAACCAGCCAGTATATTTTGGGGTTTGTGTGTGTTTTCTTCATAGTTTTTTTTAATTTGCAAAGAACTCTGGGATGATTAAGATCCCATTTCACTTAACCAGGCAGACAAGCCAGCATGCAGAGTTTCACTCCTTGTATTCCCCCCCCCATCCCGGATCCTCATTTGTGCTGGGAAAGGAACAACACCAAAATGGACGTTTACACAAACAGTGAGACGGAGAGAGGCCTTGTGCAATTGCAAGTGCCTGAATATAAGGTTTAATCAGCAGGGAGCTCATTTTATGTCAGATATGACACTTATCCTTAATCTAGTCATCTCACTGGAGACAGAGAAAATGAGGAAAAAGAGAGAGAGAGAGAGATTGAGACAGAAATATTTCCCCATTTTCATTTTTTTTTAAAAAAAAATCATTTCAAAATGAGAAAATAGAAGACAGGGATCTTCTTTTGCAGAATCTTAAACTTGACAAACTGTAATTTATTTAGTAGAAGTTAAATAAATGCTGATCAAGTGGTCCAATCTGGCTCTTTGAAGCATCAGTTAATTTTTCATAAGGAAATCTTTCTACCCCATAAACTTGTTTTTTGGAACTGTTTTTCATCAAGTGGGAGGCTGCCCTGTATTTTAAGAGGCTTAGTGCAGATCCGTTGGCACATACGTCTTGACTGACTTCAATCTCATTCTTGGGGCCATTTCTAAGCCTTGCCATTCATTTCTGTTTATTATAGGTTAAAGACAAGGGTTAAAGAGTAAAGCTTCCTACTGTCCAAAGCTATACAAAAGTTCCTAGAGGTTTATTTCAGTAATTGAAGTGGGGCCCAGGATCCAAAAAGAAAGTTTGCAGACAAAATTCAGGTCCCTGTTTTAGTAAGTGTCAAATTATTGTTTGCTTTCTTTGTACAATTTGATAAGTTCAGTCAAGCTGTGCAATGAGAAAAATCAAAGATGATACTTTTTTAATTTCACAAGCATGTTTTTTTTTTTTTAACTTTCATTCAATATAAAAAAGAGAGTAAAAACTGCCTTTAACTAATTATTTATCCAACCTTCACGTGCCAGTTATGGCTTCTCTGCTTCAAATGAAATTTGTTGTCAAAGAAGTGAGTCATTTTGCACTGATGTATTGGACAAGCTGATTTATTATTTATCCCCTAGATTTAAGAGGGCCCAGGATATATGCATCCAATATACACTCAAAACATAAACAGCAACTCCAACAAAAACTAAACAAATAAGAAAAAGAGTGAAATAAAAAATAGCATAGAACATCTTCTAATACCATAATTAGCAGTTGAAAAAAGATTTGTGAGAAAAGGCAGAACCAGTTGTAAAATTGATCAGTGCCAACTTCACTGATCTAAAAACTCCTTCCTCTGTTGAAATGCTTTAGAAGGAATATGCCTGTCTAGAAGTATGATGTGAATTAAGGAGGTGATGGAAATGATTTGAAGAATAGAATTTAGGAAAATATATTTTTAAAAATATACTCAACCAATGAATCAAATAACAACACTAATTAAATTGTCTACAGTTATGAGTTTTGCCTGTGTAACATGTTGCAAGGAATATAGAGAAAACAGAGCCTTTATATAAAGTAAATACTGACAGAAAACGAGGAAGAAGGCTGAATATTATGGCTGATTCTTTTGCTTTTCCTCTATGTAGATTTTCCAGGAATCTCCTGTCCAAATTCATACTACTTAGCACCCATCTTATTGCCTCAGCAGCTATTTCCAACCTTTTTCGGTCACCATTTCCCTGCCTATTCTATAGAAATCATCACTGAATGAAGAAGTAGATAATCAGATTAAAAGGCAATTGACATCACTTGCCATAATATATGATTACTATTTAAAATGGAGTACTGTAAAGGCTGTTTGAGATTTTTCCTTATCTGCCTTTTTTTTTGCAGAAAAAACAAACAAACTGGCCAAACACATGTGGCATAAATCCATTTATCTCATATATGGCTAGCTGAATCTAACAAAACCCATGCCTTTTTTCATGGCTGCGCGCCTATCTGCTTTTATAAAACCTAGGTGAATAAATATATTGCTCGTCAGTGGATGTGAAGAATACTGTCAAGCTCTGTCTTCTAGAAGAAGATACATTTTGGATTATGAAAGACAGGGAGATCAAGGTTGATCCCTCAGTATAGTGAACATCTGGGAGGTGGTACAGATCTGTTTGGCTGAGAGCATAAACTACAACTATTATTCTTGCTTCTAGTTCCCCATCACTTTCTTCCTTCTTCTCTTTGTGACCAAAAATGCCTTTCAGGAGGTAAACTAGAACTTTTATGGTGTGTCAGAGCATCCTTTGACAGTTGGCAAACACTAATGACACCTCATTTTTGTAGAACACGCCAGCTTGCCCTGATAGCAGGATAGGAATAAAACTGTCAGGAACTTTGGGCCACGCGTTACATAAACAGTTTGTGAGGATCCACTCAGAAGTGATTACATGCTGTACCTGTCCTACAGATGCTGAAATGCCCTATGAAACTGCAAAGCTGCTGCATGCGCCGTTTGCAGGGAAGTGACAGATGATCCATGCCAAATACATAGAACCGTTGGCAAGTTGTGACTCAAGAGGAAAGCAATAGCAGAGCTAACAACCACATGCTAAACCCAAAGGATTTTGCAGAAATGGTGTGTGTAGCTAAGAGTTAGGGTGATCCAGCAGATAGAGTGTTTGGGCTGGGAGACCTGGATTCAGATCCTAATTTGACCATGGACTCACTGGGTGGCCTTGGGCAAGGTGTTATCTCTCTCAGTCTCAGTTTCCCCATCTGCAAAAAATTGGAATAATCATGACCTAATGACCTACCTTAGAAGGGTTGTTTTGCAAGGCATCCCAAACCTGGCAACAAATTAATACAATCTAGTCTACCACAAATATAACCCCCCCACTGATCCCAGGACTCTTTAGAATTCTTAGAAAACTACAAGTTAAAGTTTTATACCTTATTTTAATTATCAGGGCAGCAATAGCTCTTGGCAATTAAAAAAAAATCCCAAGCACTATTTACAGGGAAATGCTTTCTACTTGCTTATCATCTCAGCAGAAAATAGAAGTACGAGGAGTTGAGAAAAAAGATCTTTCTGCAGGATCCAATCTAGATTGATCACTGGGACCAGAAGTTTTATCTTCTGAGCTTTTGGATTCATGCAGGAGCCCATCCTCAGAGAGTTTCTGTGTTCTGGGTTGTTCTGTGCATTGATGGCTGGCTATTGGGTTGTTGATAGACAGCCACCAACACCCCAATCTATACCTAAGAAGTTACACAACAGCCACCATACAAATACCACACAGAGAATAGCCCAAAGCAAAACAGAGAAGTTCCCTGAAGATGGTCTCCAGCATTTGGTAGGCAAAACCTCTGGTCCCAGTGACCACCCCAGACTGGATTCTGCAACATTATTCTGGCACGTGCCTTTGTTTATGAAAGATCTTTCTATATAGTGCTCTTTTTTTAACCCTCCCCTGTGAAAAAAAATTCATTCCTGCAAAGGGACTGCATAGTACTTAAGGCTGGAGATGCTAAAACAGTGCACCTGTAGAGGCTGCTCTGAATCAGCAATTATCTTAATGAAATGGTCCAGGGATTGGGCTGGGAGGGCAGGGGAATGGTGGAAGGGACAGGGCAGACATCAACCAAGTCTGCCTGGATACAGTATAGGTAGGGAAAACAAAACAAAGTACTTACGTGGCATGATGCCTTGGCTGGCAAGCTGCTCTCGGCTTCTTCGCTGCTGTAACCGCAACTGTAAAACTAGGAGAGAGCGCAC